AGTCCGACAGTACCCCACAAAACTTCAATCGCGTCACGCGATCGCAAAACGTTATCCTCGTCGGCAATAGCTGCATGGATCAAGGCTTGCTTAGCAACTCCATCACCTGAGTCCCCAGCCACAAGTAACAGCAATTCCATGCCCGAGCTACCGTATCTTTCGTAACAAAAAAAAAATTCTTGCAAAAATTCTTGCCCAATACCTCCAATAATGCTTCACCGATGTCGCTCCACGCGAACGTTTGCGCAACTTTAGTCATGACTGGGATGAGTGTCGAGCTTCTGCCAAAAATCCGAGTCTTGAGCAGTGCTTCGTAAGAAATAACTTTGTCAACTCCGCATCATTAGATTCAACCAGCAACTCGCAAAAAGAGAGAAAAAAATCTGACCGAAGGCATGGTAGTGCGACTCAAGGTGAGTTCGTTTCCCCAGCCATATTTGGTAGCCACTTTGCCGAGAAGATTGCGCAAGGCTGCAGCATCTACAGGTCTACGAGAAGCCAATTCTTCAACAGCAAAAAGTGAAAAAGGTGAAATATGGCTCTTACGAAAGCCAGGATAATCTGTAGAAAGGCCTTGTGGCGGACAACTGGTTGGGTCCCCTGACCAGTCTCCAAACGCAATTAAGGGTTTTAGTGGCTTGAACGACCCTGTTTTACTCCAAAAATTCAGCGAGGTAGCAGGAATCGTTAGCTTTCGAACGGTACTCTACTTTTGTCCGTACGAGCTCTGGTTCCTGAGATACCAAAATTCGCGCTTTTGACAAAAGTGGCGGATAACTGGTTGCTTACCCCCCCCCCCCCCATCCCCTCCCCTTACCAAGCGATGCTCACCATTGGCGATGCTGCGCGGTGTATATTAAACAGGCCTCCTAAAATCATGGATATGAAGGAAAAGTGCCTATTTTCAAATAATTTAATGGGAAAAGTTTCTTTTTATGACGTTTCCGGCTACTTTCTACGACTAGAGGTTTTTTTCTAAGACGTAGGCTTTTTTGTATTATGTGCGGCTACTTTCTATGATTTCCGTATTTAATTTGAGTTTTCAATTATGGCGAGGCTACTTTATATGATATCGTCAGAAATGAATTAAGGGAAGGCAGGGTCTTTCTCCACAAACCACATAGTTACAGGTCACAAATTCAAGAAAGTTGATGATAGTCGTTATTTACGTAGGAACTTCAAGCAACACTCGTCGTTTGTTAAAAAAAAAAATGAATGTTATTAACCCAGGTTAAGGTGTATAGAACTAAAAGTTATGCTACACAATGGAAGCACATTGCAGCTCACTTCGCAAATTTCAACGATGAACCCCATTGATCGACTCCAAGCTTCAGTGAACCTCTACATCTCGCTTCTCATTGCTATGCGCCGCCATCTCGAGGTCGTTGTTTGCCTTTCACGTGGAGCGGGTGCAAGAACTGGACGATGAAACGCGTCGATTGGATGACTACCCGGATGGATCGCAATCAACGCATGAAGACTCAGATGACTCTGGTGACTCATCATATGACGAATACGAGACTGAGACCGAATCCGATGCACCGTCCACTCCAAACTTCATCGAAAGATGTGACGCCTTCTTCAGCGAATCGGAATCCAGCAATGAAAATGGTTTCGTTTGGAACATTCGGGGTGCACTACGGTGAAACAGAAAAATACCACCAGACCTTCTATCCCGCGGCTTTCATGTTTGTTCGTACCGAAACAGCATTCGCCTACAACCGACTTTTTCAAGTATGCCAAGACCGCTGCCTGGAGTTTTTCAACGGTTCCCTGTGTCCTCGTTTCGGTTCTATGGATCACTCACGTCCAATTGCAAATCGTTTCCGCCGAATTTTGCCAGAGATAAAGTTGTTGAACTATTGGCCGCATCTACATAGAAAGGCGCGTGAGAAAAGGGGCATTTGGTTGAGAAGGAGAGCTACGAGGAGAACATTAAGACTCAACTCGAGTATCTGAGTCAGGCCCGGACTGCAAGCCAATTTGAAGCTTTGTGTGGATTGGTGGTCGATAACTGGATTACTCTTGGTGAAGTCGAATACGCCCAATGGCTCGAGACAGAGTACCTGACGGAACCTTGGGATTTATGGTTTTACAGTGCGAGCGATGCGCCAGGGGTTGTGCCGAATCAAAATCCTATTGAACCGCATCATCGGAAGATAAAGGCTACTGCAGTAAGCCATCTTCGGGCCGCAACAGGTCACGTTTTGGCAGGGACTCTGCCCAAAATATTGATAGCAAGTGCTATGGATATTGGCACTGAACCTATTCGGCATTTCGCATCAGGACCTGCACATTCTGACCTGCTAACGACCGCTTTGCTACTGTGCAAAGATGATAACCACCACCCGAAACACAAAGGAAAAAGCCCCCGTGAACTCAGCAACATTGATCGGTACTTCTTCCACGCTAACCCCTACGTAGTGCGAGACGACGCCCTTGGAACCAAGGTAGATGGGTTTAGAACTCGGACCTACTAAGGCTCCCTTGAGGGGGTTCTTAGGCGAAATGAGACAGTGGAAAATATCCCTCTGAAGTATCTGTCGCTCCACGCTGTAAAGGTTATAGCACAATTTTCAGTCCGCCATGATTGGGACTCTCCGTCATGGAGTGTTCACAAAATCGAACGCATCCGGAACAAGTACAAATGTGACTGCAAGGAGTTCTACCAAACTGGGTGGCTATGTGCGCATATCCTGGCGACTCTACATCTCGTTGATTCGCTGGACTTGAAGATGATGCTTCGTAATGTCCCAGCCCGTAAACCTCCAGGGCGACCACGGAAGAAGACACGGTGCCTCGATCTCGACGGCACAAGAAAATCTCAGTATTCGGTCATTGCTTTGGTCAAGCGATTGACGGAAAAGTCGGCCAGTGTGATTAACAGGAGTATTTTGACAGTGCAAACTTCCAGCGACGAGGAAGACGAGGAAACACAGCGTAACTACATTGGCAAAATCAAACCTCCTTTCATGCGCGGCAGTAAATGGCTCTGGGACATAGAGTACGAAGAACTGGAGGCAGCGCCACCGGTGCAAATTGAAGAGCTGGCCAGGACCGTCAACTACTCGTTCCAGATGGGGCATAACTTAGTGCCCAACTAGCGTTACCCTACGCCTGCATGGATAATGCATCCTTGATTACGTAAAGTACGAACAGAAAAACTATAAAACTAACCCAAAAATAAAATAAAAAACTTGCATGGAAACACTGTCATACAAAAGAGCCCTTGCTCATACACTTAAGCCGAACATCAATGTATAGTTAGCGCATGTCAGACAATATAGCCGCTTGTCATAGAAAAACGCCTCACCGTCATAAAAAAGAGTCGAAATTACACGTCTTAGAAAGTAGCCGAAAGTATGATAAAAATAATCCGCACCCTAATTTAATTGGGTAAAAGTGCACAATACCGTAATGGGATCCTTTTCACGGACCATTAGTCCTCACTTCGCAATTTGCTTTAAAAGGCCATCTGCATCAAGAAACACCAAGAGCACCCACAAACCAAATAATGCGGCTTGCTTCGTATGCATCTCCAAAAAAAAACTATCATTGGCTAAAACTACATTTCTCTGGATATTTATATCCAGAGTTTTAGGGGCGATCGGAAAGCGTCAACGATCCTGTCAAATAACATTTTTATGGATATATCTGTAACTATAAGAGCGAATATTTATATGTTAAAATGACGCAGAAACTAATAAACTGTTTTCTTGTATGCCCAAAAGGGTGAATGTTGACCCAGTCGGCCTAGAACAACATTCACCTCGAATGTGATCCAGTCACATTCAAGCTACCTTATGGCTTCAACATAGGTATTGGAACGACGGAGTAGTTAGTAAATACAACCACACAAATGTCATGCGTCCAGCTTCAGATATACATGTATCTCGATACAGCACATGTACTCTATACGAAATTAACACTAGGATACGTATGAAATTGATTTAGAGACGGCAAACATCAAATTCTCAACTAAGAAAAGTAAAATTTCCCAGTGTCGCTAGCGAAATGGGGGCCCATCCTTATTCGCGCTTCAGTTTCTTCGAAGTCTTGTTCTTGCTTTTCGGTTATGGTAGCATGTCCCCAACGCATTCGTTATGAGCGCTGACAATGGTCGGTGCCAAGCACTCCTTAGCACCTACGCTGTCGGTTCCTTCTGAGATCTGGGTTTGGGCCTCACCTTTTGGCAGCATGCTCTCAGCACATCCATGGGGAGTGTTGATGATAGGAGGTGACATGATCTCCTTTTTCGGACCGGGCAGCGTGCCTTCACTGTCGGTCCCTCCAGATACTTGACTCAAAATATAAAAAGAAACACTTTTTTGAATGTGCATTAAAGAATTTCTTTTGAAAAAGTAGTTTGTTTCTTTAAAAATATATACTTTGAACGAGTTTCATTTTTTTTTGGTTGTTACGGTATGTACTTCATTAGTATTAATAAATATTATAATATTAAATATTCAGTATCCAAATATCCAGAGCTTCCCGGGCGCAGCACGGCATTAGTCCAGAAATGACCACCAGCCATCCTGAAAATTTCGCACACGAGTAAATACCTGTCAGTCAATTCAAATTACCGGATAACCACAATTAATACATCTTTTTAGTAATAATACTGAGCTTAATCTTCCAACACCCGCTAACTACCTAGTCAAGCAACCGCTCAGGGAGACTGTGATCCGGGTCAGCTTACTAAGCTGAGACAATGCTTGGAGGATAAAATTTGCGGAATCCGACGCAACTTTACTTCCGGGGATAAGTCTCGTAGATTCCGCTCGATCTAAGCATCCGGTCTCTTTGTTTTGGAATCGAGGAAGGGCAACGCCAAACAGGTCGAGACATCCGTCCCCAAATCGAGTTGGCAGCAAAGTTGCGCGACTTGGTTGACAGCATTTAAACCCCTACGATTGGCTAGAATCGGTCGAAGTTGCTTTAAATATACTAAATTTCAGAGCTTCTTCGTGCACAGCATGACTTTTTTTTATTTGTTGAGCCTATAGCCCCATTTCTCCTGAAGTCAAACAAACTGTGCGCTTGGCATTGATAGCAGTAAATTCAAAGATCTGTTGAATGACGTAGCTGTCGAGGTGAAGAAAGATGTCGTAAACAGGTTGGACAACGCTGAGGAATGCCAGACGACAGCGCAATGGTAACTTTTTCCTCTCGATGTTGAGCGTTTCTCGGTGATGCTGTCGAAATGCAGCTGCATATCTGTAAACAAGCGCCGGCGACACGAGTAATTCAAGATACTCCAGTTTGTTGTTCGCTTTGAGCATATCGAGGAACGCCTGCACACTCTCCTCACTCATCGCACTCAAGCACAACTCACGCATCCCGTTTGCCAGTGCACTACTTGGATCTCCCAATTTCTTCGCAAAACGAGTGACAACGTCGACAGGTGGGTTGTAGTATGTAAGACCCAAGCCTCGGATAGTTGCACTTCCCTTCTCCACGTCGAGCATCAAAACATCCAAGTCAATCTGTATATTGTCGAGGTAGAGCTGATCCAGTCTTGGACATGCTTTTAGAATAGCTTGAACGTCAAAAGCCGCAACAACACCCATCTGGATCGAAAGTTTTTGTAGCGAGAACCCTACCAGTTGTAGAAACCGAAGCAGCACGAGCATTTCTTGTTCCGCATTGCTGTCAATCGATAGATACAGCGATTTTATCCCAGCAGAACATGATGCTTCTGGGAACACTTTATGTGCTTGATCCGACAATATGACGCCGTTACCACGTCCAGGGACTAGTACGTTGAATCGACAGTTCTCTTCGTCAATTTGGAGCAAACGGTATACGAAATCTTCAGCAGTTTCCAGTGTTGAGATGCTGTTCAGACTGGTAATTGATTGTTTGACGTTCACACTCGTGCCTGTCGGAACGAACACGTATTCAACACTATCCCCTTCAGAAGTTTGATTAGGCTCGGGTAAGTTTGTTGCAAGCACGCGTGCTACAGCATCAACGTCTTCACGGCTCAACTGGACTCCAACCAAGTTGATTTCTTCAATAGACGACCTAGATGCACCACTGAAAAGAGCGTATGTAAGCCACCGCCAACGCCACGTACGCTGCGCCGGTGTAAGTGAACGAAATGCTCCATTGATCGTCAACTTGTGCACTCGTGAAGCGTCGACCAGCGACGCACACAAACCGGAAAAGATCTGATCGTCCACTGCAAACATCGGGATGACAAGCGACTCAATCATCGGTCCATGGCCGCAGAAGATGGTGTTAAATAACTTACCGCAATGACACTGCGCCGTTAGATCGCTTGGATGCACTTCACCCGACCGAAAGAATCCGATCTGCAGCTCCTGCTCCAGTGTCAGTTGAAGCTCCGAAATGGCCAAGTAAGGCAACTCCAACATCGATAACGCCACATCAGGTGGTTCACGTGAGACTGGAATCGTACCGATACACAACTGTACGCACTCCAGCTCGTACGTAAAATACCCGTCCACAACACGTTCTTCGTTATGCTTTTTGATCTCGTCCATCGTGGCCAACAGCTCCCTCCAATTCGCCGACAGCGCCGACTGCCCCACATTCCACAAGTCCGTGAACGCTAAAGCGTACGAGATCTTGACAATCTCTTGACGTCCTTTGTGGGGCTTCAAGATAGCAGATACCGCGTCTTGAAAGGCTACACTGGTACACCGTCCGAGGAAGAACTGGCGAAGGATAGCGGACGGTAGCAATGCGCTGTAGCGTAGGTGTTCCGCGTCAAAGCGGAGTACGAACCTCGGGGTGAATTCCTCATCGAATTGGTCGTCCAGTTTGAGGCCACATCGTTCGAGTAGCAACAATTTGCATGCTTCGTTGTCGACAATTGCCACGAGACTCAAGAGCTCCAGCGCTTCTCGCAACAGTCGAATCTCTGCAGCTTCTCGGTTGAGAATCGCCAGCAGCGACAACGGAGGACGCACAGAGAGCCACCAGTTGTCTGAGAATCGACTTTCAACGTTCAACCGGCCTCGAAGAACCGCACACCAAGGCTCAAGAAGGGCGACGGCTTGGTGCATCTTGGAAGGTTGCAAAGTGAGTGGGATATCTTACGGATTTGCAACGCTGCAAACGTGAGCATTCAAAGATACCGGACTTTTGTATTGCGAATATTGCGAAAACAATCAAGTAAACGGGAGCGTTGGTAATTGCACTTCGTCACCAAAGGTTAGCTTGACAAACACTCTTCTCCTCACTTAGTTGGGGACGGCGGCTCGGACGTGGGAATATGGGGCAACGGCAACTCCTCTTCGTCCGCTGCATGCGCCGAGGACGTCGGACTGGTAGGATACAGAGCGTACGCCGTGAGCGGGTCTTGGTCGTTCAGTACCGTGTGAAGACGCGCGAGTGCAGGGTTGGCAGTGGCGGGCATGGACAGCCAGTGCACGTGCTGGGCAGTAGAGACCACGTCGGCGAATGTCTGGTGCTCCACTGTAACTTCCACGAGGCTGGGGGAGCGGACAGGAGGCTCCCGATCAGCCTGCACAGTCTCGTTGGTGTCTTGGACGTCGGTCACTTGCTCCTGCACTACATCAACCTCCTGAACTACTTCGGTCTCTACTTCCTCCGTCACTTGAACCTGCTTCGTCTCTTTGGTCTCAGTCGTTGTCACCACCTCAGACTCCGTAACCTCTTGGGTTGTTGTGATTTCCTTCGTCTCCTGCACTACTTCGACCACTTCGCCATCGGTAGCGGCTTCAGTCTCCTGGATCATCAGCGTTTCTTTGGTCTCTTTGGTCTCCGTTATCACCTCGGCATCCTGGACGGTCTCCGTTACGGTGGCTACCACAGTCTCCGTTACCACTGCGGTCTCTACAACTTCTTCTCCTCTCTTTACCTCTGTAGCTTTAGCCTCGTCGATCGCTTTGATGGCTTCACGTTGAGCTTTCTCCTCAGCTTCCAGTCTGGCCTTCTCTTCAGCTTCAAGCTTAGCCTTTTCCGCCGCTGCCAGTTTAGCTTCCTCCTCTGCTTCCAGCCTTGCCTTCTCCTCGGCTTCACGTTTGGCCTGCTCTTGTGCTTCCCGCTTCGCCTTCTGCTCTGCTTCTAGCTTTACCTTCTCCTCCGCTTCAACTCGAGCCTTCTCCGCCGCTTCACGTTTGGCCTGTTCTTCCGCTTCAATTCTAGCCTGCTCCTCAGCTTCCAGTCTTACTTTCTCCTCCGCTTCCAATCGTGCTTTCTCCTCAGCCTCCAGCATGGCCTTCTCGGCTTCTAGCTTTGCCTTCTGCTCTGCTTCTAGCTTTGCCTTCTCCTCAGCTTCCAATCGAGCCTTCTCCGCCGCTTCACGCTTGGCCTGTTCTTCCGCTTCTAATCTAGCCTTCTCCGCTGCTTCACGCTTGGCCTGTTCTTCCGCTTCTAATCTAGCCTTCTCCTCAGCTTCCAGCCTAGCTTTCTCCTCAGCTTCCAGCCTGGCCTTCTCCTCAGCTTCCAGCCTGGCCTTTTCTTCAGCTTCCAGTCGAGCTTTTTCTTCCGCTTCCAACCTTGCCCTCTCCTCAGCTTCCAACCTCGCCTTCTCCTCTGCTTCCAACCTCACCCTCTCCTCTGCTTCGAGCCTCGCCTTTTCCTCTGCCAGCAACTTGGCCCGTTCCAACTTCTGCTGTTCGATCGCCGCTTGTTCCTCCAGCTCCTTCTGCTTCTGCTTCTCCAACGCCTCCAGCTTCGCTTTTTCAGCCGCAACTCGAATACTCACCTCACTCTCCGGCACAATAAACGTGTCGATGGTTCGCGTAGCAGGACCCGTGGCTTGCTTCTCCAGCGACTCGAACTTCTCCTTCTCAGCTGACACGCGGACACTCGCTTCGTTCTCTGACACGATAAACGTATCAATCGTGCGCTTGACTTGTGTGGCGAACTTCTGCTGACTCTCGAACATGGCCTTCTCCGCCGACACACGGACACTGGCCTCGTTCTCCGGCACAATGAACGTATCAATCGTGCGCTTGGTAGCTTTCACCTGTTTCTCCGGCGTCTCAAACCTGGCCTTCTCCGCCGACACACGGACACTGGCCTCGCTCTCGGGAACGATAAACGAATCAATCGTACGCTTGACTGGTGTAGCGAACTTCTGCTGACTCTCGAACATGGCCTTCTCCGCCGACACACGGACACTGGCTTCGCTCTCTGGGACAATAAACGAATCAATCGTGCGCTTGACAGGTGTGGACGTGCTCGTCTTGTTCTCGAACTTGGCCTTCTCCGCAGACACACGGACACTAGCTTCACTGTCAGAAACGATAAACGAATCGATCGTCCGCTTGATCGGAGTGGAAGTGTTGGCCTTGTTCTCAAACTTGGCCTTCTCAGCAGATACACGAACGCTGGCCTCGCTGTCAGATACGATAAACGAGTCGATCGTCCGCACGGGAGCGGTGACCACTGAGTTCGCGCGCTTGGTTTCGAACCGACTCGCGATGCCTCGTACACCGCCCGGACTCTCTTCAGTAACGGTGTATCGACGAGCAACCGGCTCAGGAGTGTGAGCGCTAGTGAGCGTAGCCGAGCGCGTGGGCTTCGTCGGTGTACTGAATGCTGCCTCGGTTGCAGTCTCCGTCTCCTTCTGGGCTTGTTTTTCCTTCTCCAAAGCCTCGTACTTCTGCTTCTCAGCGCCAACGTGGATGCTCTTTTCAGTCGGGAAAAAGCTGCGCACTGTACGGAACGACAAGTTGTCTAGAGATTGCTCTGCCTTCTTCTCGAATCGACTTGCCATGTTGCGCACACTTGACACGACGGAGCCCTTCTTAGGTTTAACAGGAGACTTCGGTCGCTCCTTGGCTTCTGCCTCTTCCTTGGCACGTTGAGCCATCTGAGCGTTATACTTCTCCCGTTCAGCACTGACAGAGATGCTGCGTTGCTTCTCCGTGAAGAACTCGCGCTTCGTGCGGAACTTGAGGCTGTCCAACGCATTGTCCTCTTCTTCGTGGGTCTCCAGACGATGTACCACTTGTTTCACCGGCGACGAACCGCTTAGATCCAGTTTTGCAGCCGACGGAGTACGGTGAGTTGTTGGAGACGTTTCTTCGTGCCCTTCGAGGTGATGCACGATGGTTTGCACCGGTGAGGGCGTCTTGAGCTCCAAATTCGCTGCTGAATCCGTACGGTGCGCCTCTGTCTTATCAGACAAGCGCGAGATCACGGACTTGGGCGGCGTCTTCTCCGACTCCGGCTCATCGGTCTCCAACGAGGCGTTTGAGTCACTCAAATGAAAATCCACCGATGCAGACGCCTCCACTTCAGACGTACTCTCCGATTGCTCAGTTGTTGTCTTGGTCTCCGTGCTTATCACCTGTTGCGTAGTATTCTCTTCCTCCACCGCGTCTCCATCGGTCGAGTCACGCATGTCGTCGAGACTGAACACACTGTCTGCGTCAACGGAGCTGCCCACCGTAGCAACGACCGAGTAGTCCATTTCAGACGCGTCGTCCACAGCTGAGTTCACGTCCGCTTCCGAGGGTTCTTTGGCACTTACGTCGCCCTCCTCAGCCTCGAGTTTCATCTCAATGGTGGAGGCTGCTTCCTTCGTCGAGGTCTCTTTGGTTTCTGTGGTCTCAGTCTCTACCTCGCGATCCAACTCAGCAGTTTCATCCGCAGCAGCAAGTGCAGCAAGATCCACTTCCGCCTTCTTACTACTCTCCTCTAGGAAGGCCTCCTCTCCCGCGAAATCCTCAGTCTTGACGCTCTCCCCGTCTACGGAGCTCCCCAGAGTGGCGGCCACGGAGTAGTCGATCTCCACAGCGGCGTCATGAGTAGCGATGGACTTAGCAATCTCTTCCACGGCTTCAGCGCTGATAGCAGCGCCTTCCTCCGCCGACGCGACCGTTTGCTCTTCAACCGTTTGCTCTTTAATCGTATTTTCCGTCACCTGCTCTACAGTCGTCACTTCCTCACCCTCCACAACCGTCTTAGTCTCCACAACCGTTTTGGTCTCCTCTACAATCGTTTTAACGTCCCCCTTCTCGCCCTCCACAGTTATTTCCTCGTCCTGCTGCGTCTCACTGGTCGTCGCCTCCTTCGGGCCGGGGGTAGCCATGATCCACCACGCGTCGTCTCCTTTGACTCAAGATCGATACTGACGGAGGCGTCGCTGAGTTGCGTTGCGACTTGCGGCGGACGCCGTGACCCATCCTTTTCCATAGCCATGCGCTAGCATGGTGCGATTTGACAAAATTGCCACATTGAAATTCGAAGTTCCACGTGGCAATTCCCCGAAACCGTATCATATATGAAAAAAGCGCAATCTTACGGATTATGGCAACGCATGCATGTTAGTCATCGTAGTGAATTGTCACTGCCCTTGTTGCACAGGTAGCTGCAAGTGCCATAATAAGGCTCAGAACAGCGTCGTCCAGAGAATTTGAGGCGGAATCTTGGCACTTAGGGCCTCGTACTGCACTCAAAAACGCAGCTTTGGCTGCAATGGACACTTTATTCTGCACCACTGGCAGAGACTCGCCATGATGCAGTTGAAATGCCTCGTCGTACTTGGTCTGCAACTCCGGACTCAACCCGAGACTGAGGTACGAGAGCTTGCGATTGGTCTTCAGCATGGCTAACAAAACTCGGACGTTGGCGTCGTCGATAGTACACGACTCCGCGGACCCAGACAGTCCGAGTTCGGACAGGTGCTGGCCAATTTGACTCGAAGGAGTCGCGACGGCTTCAGCGAGACGCGTTATCTGCTCATTGGACGTAAAGACGTTCACGAGACCCAGACACTTCAACTTTGACTTGGTTCGTTCGATATCGAGACAGAAATCGTTCGGGTTTCTGAGTTGAATACCCTCGAGGAACAAGTCCGTTAATTGAGGACATGCTTGGCTAATGGAAGCCATGCTAAGTGGATATGACCCGACGGCGTAGAGCGCGAGGGACCGTAAGGGATTCCCAATTAGGTTCAAGAAGTCTGTAAGTACTTCACCGCCATCATCACCAAAGTGAAGGCCCAAAGCAAGCGTCAGAGCCTTCAAACCGAGAGCTGAGTCATCCTTTCGTTGTAGCCGCTGCTCGGCTGGCTGTGTGTCGACTCGAGCAACGCCGTATCCTGGCAGAACCACGTGGAAATGACCACCTTCGTCGCTCACAATATGAAGCCACGAGTCTGATTCCAGTAAAATAGAGAATAACCGGCCTTTGACGCCATTTTCTTGGCCAGGATTGACAAGTATGAGCTCTGTACCTTCAAGAAAGTGGCCGACTGAATCACGTCTCCAGTCTCGAATATTCAGCATGTTTTCCTCGCTTGTGATGTTGTTCAACGCTGCAGTTGGTGGCGAGTTAGCGTGGATCACCACAGCGATAGCCAAAGTGTCTTCACGTGTCAGCTGAGCTGCTGTAATAAGTGCTCTTTCCACGGTTGAGTCAGTGGTCGTTCTGAACAGCGCATACGTGAGCCACTGCCACTTCCACCTCCTCGTCTCCTCCGTATCGGACATGCCAAACACACCATACAGTCGAAGATGCTTTGTAACTGAAGCAGAGCCAAGAGTAGAGCACAAAGCCGCAAATTGCCATCCATTACAGTCATGACACCCGACCGATAGTGTGTCGACGCCACCTCTTTCAGCACCGGCAAGACTTTGACCACACAATACTGTGCGCAAAAACTTTCCAACGCTGTCTTGCATTTGCGCATAGTTCTCAGCAGTAGCTTTCTTTAACGAGAACGCAAACAGCGAGAACGGAAGCCCCGAGTTTAATAAGTTCGTCAACCTCTGCGTCAGTGACCAAGATATGTTCACCTCTCCGACGTCCAAGCGAATCGACTCAAGCGTCAGAGGTAAGAAACCCGTAGAATTTACGTCATACTGTTGATTAGCTTGGAGGATCCTGAGCATTGCGTTGAGATCACGCAGATGAGTCTCGAGAACTTCATCAGGCAGCGTCAGGAGCTCAAATTGCAGCTCGAACGGGACCGAATCAACGCATCGAGTCTTCCCCAGCGTCATTTCCACCTCCTTCAAAATTCGTCTAGCTTCCAAATAGTCGTCACTTCCTCGCTGGACACTCGCCGCCACAAAAAACTGTTTGCACACTGCAGCAGGCGACAAAGCGCCAGACTCCACGAACTTCTCGTTGAACACGAAGCGGAACCGTGGATGCAAGTCCCCATCGAGCGGTTGATCGTCCTCATCCCTTGGAACTCGACACTGCTGCACTAAAAGGGCTCGCCACGCAGCATTGTCCACAATTGCGACTCGGGCGAGCAGATCCAGAGCTTCTCGAATCCGACAGAGCGCATTGATTTCGACCTTTTCGGGTGAATGTGGCAGCCTCACCGCTACCCAGTGATATTCCCAGCGCGCCGAATTTTCAGCTGTGCGACCTTCTAAGTGCAATTTACCACGCAACACTCGACACCACGGATACAGGAACGCCCACAGCGCAGGAGGAGCAGCATCAATTGCTGCCATGTCAAACAAGGACATAAAAAATCAGATTATCGTTGGCTAATTGAGCAATACTACTGGTTTTGTCATTATTTTGTTTTTGGGTAAAAAAATAATTTTCTACTTTTTCTTGTCCTTACCCATTTTCTTGGTAAATGGTACAGCATGACGCAAATCAATGCAGTCCAGACGCACAGTACCCAGCACACGTTCAGGTAGTTCCATGACGCTTTGTGCCTCGATTACGAAGGCCAAGTCGATGATGAGGTCCCGAGCGTAGCCCAGCAAGAGGTTCAACACCCCCGTGGCAACTGTACTGCTGCCGATATCATAGTCCGCTTCCAGATAATTCTTGCCCTGGTAGTATTTCTGGTAGATCTTGGTGCCTAGAATGGCCGGAGTGGTGCCCACGCCTTCTCGAATAGGCCACGTGCCTTGTACAACACGCGGAATCAGCTTGATACGTTGCGTTCGGAACTCATCGTTGGGTCCACGTAGCACTTCATGACAAAGATCAGCAAACACAGAGTTCTTCTTCAACTCGGACGGATCTTCCGGTGTGAAATATAACACCAGCGAGTGGTGCGGGGTACCAGGGAGTATAAAGTTGATAATGAAGATAAACGGACGGTCTTCCACTGCCGAATCAGTGGAATCGAAGCCGTCTCCAACGAAAGAAGACACTCCGATATGCTCAATCGGTTCGTTGGACTTGTACAGCTCCACATTCACTAGTCGACAGGCTTGTCGCGCTGATGGAATCTTCGTCTTTGAAGTAAAATATTGTGGCCCACGGACCATGAAGCCGTCAGCGCTCGGTTCGCTCCAGAACTTTGTGGGTAGCCCATGCAACACACTGAGATCGGTGCGATACCTTTCAAGCATTGGGAACTGCTTCTCCGTCACAATTTGTTGACTCGGGACTGGAAACTTACCGCCCACACTCATTCTTCGACTGTCTGAAGTTGCAGTCACTGGACGGAGCGTTTGCAGACCTTCGGACGCTGTGATCGCTGTGATCATTTCCAAAAAGAAGACCCCGTAGGCGTGGACGTAGTACCATGAGCGCGCTAGTGTCGAGTCGATCCAGCCATTGGGATTCATCTGGATTGTCAACGTCACCCAGCACTCCTCAAAGTGGTTATCGCTGTCTTCTTGCACGCGTGGAGAGATGATGAACCCTCCACCCATAATATTGGCACGGACAGCTCCAGTATGGGGAGGACAACCCGTATGTGTGGTGGACTGGAAGCAGATAAAGTACGAGCCGTCGGGCTCCATGCGCCAATAGCGGAGCATACACAGCTCGCGAGCACTCACGAATACTGGCCACAGATACGTCGGGAAGAGTTTCCAGTAGACCACGTCACTGTGGTCCTCTGTGTGTTCTTCCAGTACACGCGCCTCCTGAATAACATGGTTGGATGTGTAGAATGGACTGTTGACCTTCATGAGCATCTCGAACACTTTACGAGGCGATGCGTTCACCTTGAGACTCGTACGAAGTGCAGGCGGAGGAGCGGATGTCCGGAGACTGTTCTGGTGACTCTGACGCTCTGTGTCTACACGTAGTTTACTTGAAAACTCGTAGAGCTTCCATGATGTCTCTTGTGAGAACGTGGCAGACGTACGGAAGCTCTTAGCGATAGAGCGCGGCATGGATCCAAACGATCCCGACCGTTGTCGAGGTCCTGGATGAAGCGAGAGTGCTCCACCTTTTCCAAAAGATTGCTGCGATACAGATCGTGATCTAGCACCCCCTCCGAAGGACGATATAGTAGTAGGCAGTCTGCTTTCCAGTAGTGGATTACCCTCCTCCATGTCGGGGTCGTGATCCATGTACCAGTTCAGATAGCGCTTCCACTGTTCTTCAGCTTGAGCAATGCACTCGAGAATGCTGTTACGCCACCACACAGCAGTCTCCAGGGACTCAGCAGCCAGTGCAATAGGACCTTTACTGCGACTCTGAGCGATCATGGCGCCTGCAGCACCAGCACTCGCAGCAGCGGCTGCACTCATACTCATACCCATCACACCGATACCAACACCAGCCAACCCACCCGTCAACACCACGGCGGTTGCTGCTGTAGCAGCAGCAGCGGCCGCTGCCGCTCGGCTTCGGAACTTCCTGGAGGTGGCACGCTTGACACTCGGTCTTGCATCAAACTCCGTTTCGTGAGAAACAGCCGAGTCCAGTGGAGACTCAGCCCCGAGTCGTGATGGGGTCGGTCCTGGCGTCAACTCTGCACTCTCCTCCACCTCATCATTACTCGCGTGACTCAAGTGGCGGATCCTGAACGTGAAGAGCTTCTTGGTCTCGATCTTACTCGGCGACTCTCTCACTTCATCCACCGTCGTGCCAGGGCCCAGTATGTACCAGCCACGTGGCTCCTTGTCTCCTTTCTTCCTGAAGTAACACAAGAAGTGGGTGCCATTGGGCGTCGAACGGATCATAAAGTACCGTTCTCTCCATAAATTGACGTGTTGACCCTTTTTGCGTAGCCATCCTTCCATCCTGATCTCCCCTGTTGTAGGTGGAAGGATTTCTTCCTCTGTCTCTGCGGTTCCGGGTTCAACGGGAGCTGTAGCAGCTCTAGAAGTCGAAGAACTCGACGGTGCAGAGACCCCGCCGAATCCCAATTGGCGATCGCGTTCGCGACACATTTCCTCGACTATTTGCAATAGTCTGGGTTTCATAACTTCTCGAACAACGCTGTCATCGAGACCTCTGGACGATGACGACGTGTTGCCGTCTGTAGCGGCCTCTAGAGCGCGTTTGCGAGCGCGAAACTCGGCCATCATATCCTCGTAGAAGGTGAGAGCTCGTTCCTGGAACTGAGGGTCCTGTGCCGGACGTAGAACTCGAGTATCGGCGCCAATGATGGGCGCCCCGGCGTGGACCGAGATGTAGAGCTTCTCTAGCGCTTTGAAAACCACACGCTTGCCGTTCTCGCGGCTGGCGTAGCACGCTGTGATGTAGTCAGCGCACACAATGTCCAGTAGCATGTTGAGGCGGTCCCCGTCCAGCAGGATATCCGGGATCATGCCCGCAGGCCTATCATCCCCAGCTTCCATCGTGCCCCCTGCTACTTCTAATTGACAAATGACCAAAGTCAAGCGCTACTGGACTATAATCTGCAATCCATAGTGGAAGCAAGTGTAAATTGTGCAAGTGCGAAGAGTTGGGTCAAAGTGTAACCTTCACAAACAGGCAACAGTAACTTGTCTCGGGTCTGTCATCATCACTTCGACTGCCATTGACACACAAGCGTTGATTAACTTTTCGCCAGTGGCAAAGACAATCTGCCACTTGATAAGCTTTTCATTTGACAGATTCGCATCAGTATCGCAACATGAAAACAATCGCGTTTTGGATGGTAAAACAATTTTGATTCATTACTTGGCAGTTGGAGTCTACCGCTATCACTACTGAGGTCGTGTCTTTAAGCAACGCAGATGCCCTTGATGATCGAGTCGATCCATGGACGCACAGCAGACACTCGTGAATATACGCTCATACCACCGACTTCACCACATCCTTCGTTGTTGCTAACAAGACCCACAAGGACCTCGTGGTTCTTCTTCTTCACGATGACCGCACCGCCATCGTCGCCCATGCATGACTTGGTGGCTGAGACGCCCCGAGAGCACAAATTGGCCTCGTCAATTTTCAGCTCCGTCGAGCAAATCTCGTTGCTCACGAGTTGCACCTCCACGCTCTGCAGATAACGGGACTGCACGGCTTCAGCCGTGGTGTCGTTCCAGCCGAGACGAGCGCCCTTCATTCCAGACTTGACGATCGTCTTGGCCGGGTCCAGGACCACCGGTTTATAACTCGACTCCTGCTCTAGCTCGAGGATCAGAAAGTCGTTCTGGTAGTCGGTGTTATTCGGGTGCACCAAGTAGGCGACGACCTTAATCTGCTCACCGCTATCCGCGCCAGTGTACGAGTCGGAACCGAGCGATACCCACCGGATGTTGTTCGGAATGCAGCTCGCCACGGTCAAAACGTGCGAGGGGCCGATGAGAGCACCCGCACAAAAGTTGGCGCCGTCTTTGGTGGAGCGAACGCCAGCGACGTATCCCTTGCCAGCCTCAATTTCCGTGACCGGGACGGTGACCAAGTCATCGATTAGGCTGGAAGACGACGTCTGAGCGTTAACCGAGCTCGACGCTAGGACAGTGAGCGCAGCAACGAGAGCGGACGCGAGTTTCATCTTGATCTACAGCAAACAGCGATCAGAAATCGGCAAAAGCTCAAATGGCTCAGGATGGTCTGCACTGCTATCTGGATGGACTCGACAATCATAGCTAGGTTCGTTTCCTCAAAGCGGAGCTCTTCACCGCGAGTTTCTGCTTCTGCTTGTAGCAATCGCTAAGTTCGGTTGCTCCGAATGTCTGGGCCTGCGGACACCAAATGGGATCTGCCAAATCTGAGCAAAGCTTCCATGATGTTGAAGGGAACCGCGACAAGCTTTCTAAAATGGGTAAATTTTCTCGGTAGTTTTCTCCAGTGGTCGGTCACTGCGGTGACGAAGCAGAACCGACCGGTGTTCAAAAGCCGAGACAGAGCCCACGAGCGGTATTCGTATTCGGGACGTGTATTGTTGCAGCAACGTCTCTCTTCTTGTTCGTGCCCTTTTGCTGATACGCTTGCTCTGTCTCGGTTGATGAGGGACGTGATAAATTACATACTGCTTGTTACATGTACAAAAAATAGTTTTGAAAACTTTGGCCTTACAAGAGCATCTCCACCACATCACTATTATAGGAAATGTAATCCGATATTATCATCCAAAATTCTTATCAGTGTTGACTTTAGTCTGAAAAACTTGTTGTGCGGGCTCTTGTTTTAATAACGCCGTTTATCCTTCTCTAAGACGCGGTTTCCACAGTTCGCACCAAACCAGTATGGTGCAAACTTGGTGACCGGCCAACATCCAGATGAAATTCAAGAGCACATCTTCATGAAAAACCTGGTTCCTCAAGCGGCTTTTCCTTGCTCGAGACATCAGGAACGAGTCGTTGCATGGCATGACCGCGACTGGAACACCTCATCACTTCGGTTTTCGTAGGCTGAAACTCAACGCCATCGAATCCGGTCTTGGTGATGAAGTTCGTCTCAGCTTTCGTTGCTGCGTTGGCCGCTTTAGCGGTCGTGTCCTCCGCAGACTCCACTGATGCTGTAGAGCGCAGGCTTATCCTCGGCGGAACCACGGTACCCAAGGGCAGGAAGACCTACTATGCTGGTATGCGCAAAACGGCGGAGGGCAAGAACTTCTGCGGCGGTACCCTCATCAGCCCCATCCACGTGCTCACTGCCTCGCACTGCGTCACGTACGACATCCGCTGGGTCTCGATCGGCTCGCACTATAACAATGGCACCCAGGACGGAGAGCAGATCAAGGTCGTGTCGGTGATGAACCACCCAAATTTCACTGAGGCGTTGAAATTCTCCAACGACTTTGTCATTTTGGAGCTGGAGGTCGCGTCGACGATCACGCCTGCGAAATTAGCCAAGGCCGACGACTCTGATTTCAAGGACGGCGCCACAGTGACAACCGTGGGAACTGGACGTCTGTCGGAGGGCACGACGGCGCTAGCAGGTCACGAGCTGCAGCGTGTGGATTCGACGCTGATCACTAACGAAAAATGCGCCGAGTACGGCAAGATTACAGTGGACGACTCTATGATTTGCGTGGGTGGACAGATCAGCATGGGCTACTGCGACGGTGACTCGGGTGGCCCGGCCTTCATCGAGTACTCCGACGACGATGCCGACGACGTAGTGGTTGGAGTGGTCAGCTGGCGCAATTGGCGCGATGGTGAAGTATGCGGCCGCGGAAAGAGTTTGCCAATGTTGTACTCACGCGTCTCGTACGCTCGGTCTTGGATCGATCCCATTAGGAAGTCCTCGTGCTTCGAATAGGCTAGATAAAGTGCCAGGAGTGTTGGACCATAATACAGTTTTTTCATAGATCAATCCTTGATTCAACGCGGTGTCTGGTGCTGAAGTTTGCCAGTAGTAGCTGTCCTACAATCAGTATCATTGTAAATCCAGCAGGAACAAGATGGGTCAATAGTCAACGTGCTGTCAACCGCAGACCGTGGTAAGGTGCAACACAGCCATGCAGCTCATCTCGCGTCTAGATTCTCGATGGAGGCACTGTCCTGGGCCAAGTCTTGGCCAAGACTAATGGTGGCCAACCTGGCGAACGCCCTTTGCATTTTAATCGGCGGTACACGGACATTAAGTAACCGACGGCACCGCGTCGCATGATGCAAACGCACGGCCGTCCACCACCATTGCTAGACTCCTTCGCAGATATTCTCCAGAGAAAAGGTGACTGTTGCAGTCATGTCATGTATCTTCTAGAGAAACGCAGTGGACGGGTATACGCATGGGAATCCGGATTCTAAGAAAAAACCCTTACTCAGTGCAAGTTCAATCATCTGTTATCCGGAAATGTGACAAAGATCACGCCCCGCTCAACCGAAACTTCAACACAAAATCCCAATCCAACTACCTTCCAGAAGAGAAACTGCGCTATGGCAGACACGATGCCGCCGCCGCATTCCGAGCCCGTTACGCGGAAGCCGTTGCCCCCTTTAGAGGTCCCGGGGCAAAACCAGGAGCGCTTTGTGATGCAGCCCAAGGTGGAGGCGGGTCGAGCCCACCCCGAGAGCGCAGAGCCCGTGACAACCAAGTCGAAGGGTCTGCAGGAGACGCTTACGTGGTTGGAGAAACAGTGCCATGTCGTGCAGACGCACGACGGCCACCAACGTCGCAAGCGTTCGTCCACGTTCGTGCGCTCAGTGTTGCGTCTTCTCAGTGGGTCTAGGGACATGAACAACAGCGACGAGGGCGAGGACAATGCTCCAAAGCTGCCAGTCCCCTGGGGACAGGATGTGCTCAAGGTTGACTGGTCGGAGGTGGGCTTCCGACTACTTGACCAGCCTATTATGCAGGATATGAACCGCGTCCGCGCATTCATCGCCAAGGAGGAGCTTTTCACCGCGTCCCCGCAGGGGATAATAGCACTAGCCAAATGGCTACAGCGCTTTGACAACCACGTGCGTCATGTGATAACACTCAAAGAATATTTACTGGAGGAGCGTACGCTAATTGTCGGCGTGGGACACAACGTAACCACGCTCTACGATGCGTACGATGAAGCCTTGGCAGTGGCACTGGAAAAAGTGCACGACGAGCGTCGCGACTTGAGCGAAGCCGTTTTGCACATGTTTGACGAGCTGGAGAATCTTCTGCGCGGTGAGGTGACAGCTGTAAAGCACCTAATCACGCAGACATTGACTGAAAAGGAAGAGTATGAAGCGCTAAGCACGCTGTTTAACCAGCTCACCAGTGACGACGAGTGTGGTGTGATTGTCGCCCACCTGCTCGGTTGGATGCGTAACAATATGAGCGAGGAGGACGTGCGCGTGTTCCTCGCGCTGTTCAATCCAGATGTGCAGGACAGGATTGCCGGCGAGTGGATGCGCATGTATGCGTCGTACCTTCACTTGCTGGACGAGTTCTCGATCAACTATGACAGCTCGCTCTCGTATTTTACATGAAGCATCGTCGGCGTGCGACCACGATGCTGGCAGACGTAGATTCTGGATCGAGCTCGCATGGGGCTTAGCGGATCCAACTAGTTCAGTGCTGCTGCGCCACTATCGTCACTAAAAGGTGACGGAACGAGCAGCAGCTAGCGATACACGAGAGGAACTCGTCTGGCGGGTGATGAAGGCCGCAAGCTTTTGCAGTGTATACGTGTATTCTTGCGTTTAGTTTATGATGCCCAACATATTATGGTGTAATCTCAAAGAGACAGAAATAACGAGCATGTCTTGCAAGCACGCACATTACATGTAAACTCTGCTACGTGTACATGTAGCATGATGAACTTCGTTAGAATG